TCCCAACAATTGATTAAAAATTTTTGAGCTCATTTTTTGTCTGTAAATAGGACTTGATGAGATTAGAAAAACTTCAAAAAGGATAGTTTTGCTCATAGATCTTCTTTTTCAAGTTATATACATTTTAGTATGATTTCCATCTATAGGAAGATACTATTGATCTCATATTTTGCCCACAAGTAGGTCTCATAATCCTTAGAATATCGTAATAGTTTTAGACAAAATAGATCCTTTCTTCTTGAAATATTGAATACTCAAGAAAAGTAGATTTTGCTGACTTTTTTGTAACACATAATCGATTGTTTTTTTTTGTGGCCATTCAATACTTCAAGAAGATAGTATCTATTTTGTTTGAAACTATTTTCATAATATTCTAAAGGTTATGAGACCTATTTATGAGTGAAATATAAGGTTGAAAGTACATAATTTGACTTTTTATCAAAAATCTTTCTATAGATTGAAATCATACTGAAATGATGATAACTTTAGAAGGAACGTCAAATGGGGAGAAATATCCTTTCGAAGTTTTTTTAGTCTTAGCAAGTCCTACTTAAGGACAAAATATGAGCTCAAAGGTTTTTAATCAGTTAGTGGAGTTTCCTCGTAAGAATATTCGTATCAAGTGAAGCAAAACGGCAAAACTTTTACTTTTTTTTTTTCTTTGAAAATCTAGTTTTTTGTTCAATGACCCTTATTCTCATTTCTTTTACATGTATAAATTTAAATCCAATGATGTCTAAAATTATTACTCAGATGAAAGATATTTTCTACAAAAAATTTTTATATTAATTTTCAATCAAATCAATTGAATTAACTATTAATAAATGCTTATCTTTCATCTAAAATTTCAGTAGATATTTTTACTAGAATAGTCAGATATCAATTGATTTGTATATAATTAACATAGTTTCATCAAACTATTGTCAAATGAAAATATATATCCTAAAAAGAATGAAATAATTTTTTTAAACTTCAATAAAAATCTTTTATTTTCTATTAATATTTAGTTACCTACATTGAATCTGTTACAATCAGACTATTCAACATTAACTATTGATCAATGGAATCTTATATCAAATTTATTACATTGTCATGATGAACATAGTGGATTATCAACAGTTGAAAATTATATGCATAAACAAAATACTTTACCTGTGAAATTACGGTTTAAATCTGAATCAATGATCGAAATGATTCATATGTCATATAGTGGAAGTGAATTGTTATATAATAAGAATCAAGATTTTCTTAGTTTATCTTCACATGATCGTTCAAATTTACTTCGTTCTACAATGAAATATACGACAACTGCTTCTTTGAATTTCATTTATTATAAAGTCGGATTAATGAATTTTCAGGGTTATTACGATGCTATTGAACTTATAAGTCATCCAAGTATAATGATTATTGCTAAACGTTTGGCAAATCATCTTGATTTTGATATAATCGTTAAAAAATTGTTTCTTGCCATTCTTTCTTTTTCAACAATGGACTATACATTTTATTCAAATAATCCTCCAATAAATTTATCAAATATTAAACAAATTTTACATATTCAAAATACATATATTGAATTAATATGGAGATATTTAATCTACAAATACAATGATAAACAAGCTATAATATGCTTTTCGAATTTGTTAAGATGTTTATTTATTATGAACGAGGGTATAGTTGAAGCACAAGATGTTCAATGGTTTACAAATAAAATGGATTCTCTTGTTGAACAGATTGAACAAAATCTTTCTTACAATGATTAAGTCTATTCGATCAATTGTATTAGTATGATTGTTGAATGTTTGTATTTTTATTGTTAATAAACGTTAAACACTAACGAAAGAAGATTTCCAAGTGATCCATCGCTTTTGCTGCCATACTTTGTCCATAAGTAGGGAACATGTAGATTATAAAATACCTAAGAGAATATGGGCCCATGTTGCGATATGGCTGAGATATTTAAGTTGTGGATGTGAGTTCGGGTACGAATTTGGTCTCTTCTTCCAACACACCCACACTCAAGACAGCCATCGCACATCCTATAGGTTCAATTGCACCTCAGGTTTTTTTTCTAACTGATGGATAGTTCAACTCTGATGAGTGTTATAACAATTGACATTATACTATCTCACACTAATTTTGATTATCAAGTCCGATAAACGTTTACGTTATAAAATGTTTCATTTTTCAGCCAAGGATTTGTCATATCTCTGTTAAGTTAATAAAAACTAATATCATTTCGTTTCTTAACTGCGTATAAAAACAATGGAAAGAAATCTAAGAGAATAATATGATTGTATGTCTAATTCTTATTCCATAGTTCTTCGACAACGAGCTTTAAGCAGTAAGTATCCATTCGTACTTTGCAGATCATGAAAGAAATAAAGTATAAACAGAATTATCATTGAATACTAAGAAGCAATGAACTAATCTATTCATTTTCTTACGTTGTATGTTGTGTAATCTGTTAGATACAGTGAGTGTCTATTATGCCAGAAAATTATAACTTTGGGACTGGCTGCTACATCTTTGTGTTTTTATTCTCTGTCGAACTATAAAATATGAATTTTTTTATCTCAAGTGCAAACAATCAGTTTGCAACATTCGTTGATCTTCCTACGCTACCACTAGAAATCAGAGTTAAAAGCAATCAAATGTAATTTTGAACTCTTTTAGGTCACTCGAAAAAACCTTGACCGTTTTTAGTCTATGAAAAGACTAAAAGATCAATTTTGAGTGAAATTTTTCTTTGAACTCACTAAGTGGCTTCCCAAATGGAGATATCGGAGAAGTAAATATCATATCTCAACAAAGAAAGCAAATTAAAGAAAAAACATGCTTAGATTTTAACAGTTCCATGTGACGAATATAAGTGTAGTAAAATGGAAGCTATATCTCTATTCAAAAAAAGACTTGTTGTATCTGTGATCAGAAAAAGTGCTTTTTTTAGCTGTTGACTTAAACGGTATTTTTCTCAAAGATACACACAAGCGCTGAACCATTATCAATTATATTTTTAGAAATACTATATATATTCGAACTCAGTGTGCCAAGCTGCATCCGACCATGCATAAAAATCAAAAAAAAAAATAATAATGGCTCGAGTTTTGCAGTATATTCACTTTACTAAATTAGTCATTGCACGAAGCAACACTTTAGTTATTTTTAAAATCAAATTTAAGATTGGTTAAGATAATGCTAATCGCACTAAAACAATTTTTTGATATTTTCATAATAGATTAACAACAATCAAGAACTAAACTAAATCCTTAACATGAGAAGATAGTCAGTTATTTTGAAATGATCTTTAAGAATGATTCTCATTAATTCATTTTTCTTTTAATCTAATAAATCTCTTTTTATGTATGTGGACACCAGCTGAATGTTATTTTCTCTCATTCAAGATATAACATCTATAAATAGCTAATCTTCACTGACAGAAAAACAAACTATGTTTTTTTCTAATTATATGTCGACAGAAGAAAGACGTAGTTCTTTCATTCACAATTTCTGACGAATATCAATATTTATACATATACAATCATACATCGACCATATCATGGACGATATTCCGGACAGTTTTTGTTATTTATTTGTTTTAGAAATGCAAATATTATTTTATTGATATAATCTGAGAGAATAATCAAAAGTAATGAGAGAAAAAAATAGCAATGATAAATGAATCGAGATTATTCATTCTCTTATTCAGAACCAAGTACGTACAAAGAAGCCAACATACAAAATATGAGTTCAGCACAAAAAGGTAAATCTTCTAGCGACATTTTGTTTTTGGATATCATGAATAATTATTGTTAATAGATACAAAGACAGTGCAAGCAGCTGTTATCGCTAATGCTCATATAAGTGGTCAAGAGACACCAGATAGTGATCCACGCAAGAGAGCCGATAGAGAAAATGAAGGTCGACTTTCAGGAGATCAATTTACAATTGCTGAAACTCCTGTTTTTCATATCAATCCAACAGTTGGAACTAAGAAATGAAACATTGTGCCATCGAATGACGAACAATTGATTTTCTATATAAACCAGCGCTTTTATTTGTGTGCATATTCAAACATTTTTTATGTGAAATAAATTCTATCTATTGATCTAATTTCATATTGATTTTTTGTAAATTGAAAATTTTACATATTTTATTCATTGATCAAAAAAATATTATGGATGTGAATGAGTTAGAGTTCATCTTATCATAAGTCATACTCACATCCTATATGCCAATAGATTTTGATGATTTTCTTTGTCTCTCTAAAATATCAGTTTTCACGAAAACTTCATTTGAATGAAAGATCGAGTTTTATTCAGAATAAAGTAGTACTCATAATAGTTTTCTAATATTTAATGAAGTAAATTTGATTTCGTTTTGAAAAAATATGAGTCTCATTTCGATTCGATATTGTTCCATAGTGGTCATTAAAATTTCTTCTCATAACTAACTTGTATACATTTATGTTATAGACAACTTAGGATTCTGACCTTAGTTCACTTTGAAAATAGTGCTCGCGTACTATTCGGTATGCTTAATACAACGCACAAGACTGTGTGAAAGTAAGGACATTATTAAAGTAGCAAGTACTTGTATTTTAATTCTGCTGTGAAAAATTCTCGAAAAACAATAAAATAACAATTTTATGGGTGTGGGTGGGCGTGCAGTCGAATGGAAAAAATCATACTAACATCTATGCCCACCACGTGTCTCATAACAGTCTTAAGGGTCTGAGTATGGATGTGGGCGTTGGTGTGGGTCTTCTCTTAAGCCACATCCACATCCGCATCCTATAATTTATTGAACAACGCCCAAAAAGACCGATCCAAGTGGTCTCTTTTCATTTGAATTTTACAATAAAGCATCATGTCGAGAACATATAAGAAGAAAATCATCAAGATGAACTACCAAAAAAAGCTTATTAGCGCAGTTCATTTGGGGCTGAAATGTGAAGCTCACATAAATTCTTTAGCTTCATTAAACTCATACAAAATACATAATGTGAAAATTCTCGTAGACTATAGTTGTTTTATTTCTGCGTTTCAAACGAATTTTTTTTCTTTCTATGGGGAAGTTGGTAAGGTCTGTAATGAAAAGAAGAGGGTGGCGTGGCGAACCAGAAAATTTCGCCTTAAAATTTACACTCACTATTTTCTTCGAAAATATATGTGAGTTCGACAGAACATTCAATGAAAAATTAAACATGTAGAAAAAAAGATCTTTTTTCTTTACTTTCGAGGTTAAATACATCTTTTCTATCTTAGTTAGTTGACTAAGATGATGCGATAATAGAATTGAATTTGAATTTAAGATCAATATATGAAGAACACGAAAATCATAATCAAAAACTTTATTTACATCAATTACAACCAACAAGTCCTCGGTTCGTTGAAATTCAATTTCAAGAAGTTGTACTTAAACCAAAATTACTAAAAGCATGTATTCATATTCGTTTTGGTCAATGTAAACCTCGAGCTCCATTAACAATTGCTGTTAAAAGTACACCACTACAACTTTTACAGATTGAATTAGATCAACCAATTGTTTGCAATAAACATCTTCCATCACTATTTTTAAAAGAAAATTATTTTTATCCTTTCCGAGATAATCATTGATTGTTGTTTAGAATTACCAACAAAACCAAACCATATATACTGAATATCCCTTCTTTTTTTTAAAATTCAATTAATTTATTTTTATTAAAAGTCCTATAGTTATTAAATGATGTCTACCTTATAAATTCGTACGAATATATATAAATAAAGATACTAACTTTTTAGTTTCCAATCGTAATAATAAAAATAAAAAAATTTTTGGCCCAAACTAATTTTTTGGATTTTTCAAAGGTTATTTTACTACTCTTGAATAAAGAGTTGAGACAAAATTTCTAAGCCCACAATCGAACAGAGCACGAACTGATAATTTTTGACTCGTCGGGAATACTTTCTAGCGGGTCATTTGTAAACAATAGGGTGAGGGTGTGGATGTGGGATGTAAGAGTGGGTGCCTGTTGGCGACTTCTTTTGTCCAACACCAACCACATCCTTGCTGGTTAGACCAGCATTGCATTTTTCAAGAAATTAAAGAACGCCTCGTTCTATACCTTCTCTGTTTATATATTCTAGAAACGTAGCACTATGATTTACACTAGTATCAATAACAAATTTTATATCAAATTAAAGCGTGTCAATGATGGGTTTGTCAGAATATCTGAAATATGTTTTTTTTTCAGCGTTTCATCGTGATAAAGATTATCTTCTGTCCGTGATGGCATTTTTTCCAACTTCGTTGGTAATTATTGATTCAATATGTTCAACCACGTTTAGATCGGCTGAATTTTATATCAGTTGTCGATAGCTTTGGGATGCTTAGCGTTCTAAAGTAGATCTAGTTTGAACTGCTATTGTATAATTAGTTGGCATGTATATTTATTCAATGGAAAAGATAATTAGAAAAAACATGAACAAATAAAAAATAAGAAATACATTCATAATAGACATACTGTTTTTTAGTTTTATAGAATTTTTCTTTAATAGCGAAGAAATTTCTGTATTCTATGATTTCGAGAATCTGCTACATACAAATTTAGTTGGTTGTCAAGTTTAACTGACCAAGGTTGAAAGAGTAGAGTGGAGGTATTACCACTGATTCTTGTAACACCGGCAATAGTTCTGCCTTCTGATTGACCAGCCATGAATAGTTGTATGCGATAATTATCCTTATCAGCAACGTACATATTACCCATTGGATCGAATGTGACGTCTGATGGAAATCTAAGTTCCGTTGAACTGTTACCCAGAGTTCCATTGAGATTACCAGCAAGTATCGTCCAACTACTATCACCCAAAACCCAACGAACAATATTATGAGCGTTATGGTTGGCAATAACAAGACTATTCGACAATGCATCAAAGTACACACGAATAGGACTGTATAATTGTGTATTGTTTCTTCCTGACCCTTTTCCTCCTGCAACGACGATACCCGAGGAAGCACCAGATGCATAGGACATTACACGAGCATTACCATAATCAGGAATGTAAAGTATATCTGAGTTTAAATCACGGTAAATACCGTATGGTTGGGATAATTGATTGGTCATGTTGAAAAAACCATCTAAACAAACAAAAATAAATTTCTAAGTAACAAAGAATAATTTTTTTTCCATAAAAAAATTCTGTTTATGTAAATATAATAGTAATAATCTTTTTACTAAAAATAATGAACAGTTTTGTTCAATTGGAAAACGTAGTTTTATCTGTAGCAGATTAACATAAAGAGACATATTTATCATTAATTTTCGTTATCTTACTTGTTCCATTTCCAACAATTGTTATTCCTGAAGAAACACCATTGGACCAAAATTGAATTCGATGATTGTTCGTATCTGCTACATAAAGTCCACCATTGGAATCGATAAGAACAGATGAAGGAGAATTCAAATGGCTTGCTGATGAGCCTCCTATTCCACTTGTTTGTCCCGCCAATGTCGTGCCAGTCAGATCACCTATTACGTATTTTTGAATACGATGGTTTCCAGAATCAGCAATATAGAGTATATTAGGAGAATCCAATATTGCATCTTTAGGTAGCTTGAGTTGATCACTAGCATTACCTGTCACACCTGATAGGCCGAATAAAGTGATTCCTGTTGTATTCCAACGTAATGTGGGTACAATATCTGCAAGTACAATCAAGGATAATATTATTAATAGAATTCAAGAGAAACAATTGGTTTGTCTTACTGAGTGTTGTTACAGTTTTGGATTTGATTAATATAATCGATAGAATCACAGCCAAGATTATGCTAATTATCAAAGCAATAAGTATAGAAGCAATAATACATCGACGCGAACATCTATAATAAATGTTTAATATTGAATATGATCTATAACAAAGAAAAAACGAATATTTACATTTTCTTTTGATGTTTTTTCGAAATTCGATGATGATCTTCGATCATACCTGTTTCATCTGATCGGATATCTTTTGTATGCTTTAATTAAAGAGATAATATTGTAAAAATAAATAATAATATAATCATTCATCCTACTTTTTGATGGCGCTGATCATTACTTGCTTCATCCTAAAAATTTTGTATTGTATAGAATTAAATGTGTTGTTTTTGAAAGAATTTTTGAAAGACTAACGTCATGGTGAGTCATTTTGAATGACTTCGATAGATGAGTTTGAGAGTTTGATACCATTTCTTGATTGTTTTGTTTTTCTGATTTCTATCAAAAGAAAAATAGAGTGATTGAATAATTGCTACTGTTCTTAGAAGTAATATTTTCATTGAAAAAATATTTGCATTTTAGAAAATCCTGACTAGGATCAGATAGGTATGAAGTGATAACAATTATAACATTGTCACTGATCTTCAAATATATTCTCTACCTGCGATGACGAATGATGATATCGACGAATATGAGTGACACTGATAGAACGTAATGCACTGTTAGAATTTTCGAATATATTTTGAATGACTGATAATTCATGTGAGTCCGGTTCTTGGCGTGGAATATTTCGTACAGTTGAAATCCGGTCCATCTAAAAGAATAGACATAAAAACTAATGCTGTGATTGTGAATTTTACCAAAGATTGGTTACGATGACGATTGATGGTCTTATTCTCTGTTAAATGACCAGTGCTCAATGGTCTAATAGTCACATGAATGACAGCATTAGATCGTTTGTGCCTTTCTATTAAATTATGTAACTAAACAGAATAATTAATAATAGGAAGTATTCAATATTGAAAGACACGAGAAATTACTTTATGCTTGTGTGATCGAGAATGAAACCGTTTTATAACATGTGATTGGTTTAATAGTGTGTGATCCAAAATACTATGATTGACTGACTTTGAATAAGATGATGCAGAATAATAATTATCTTCTTTTCTTGACATATGTACATGATCTATCATTATTGTAGTAAGCTTATTAAAAATGATGAAAAATGATTTTTTTTTGTTTTATACCTGAATACCTAAATTTACATTCAATTTCAATTACACGATGTATGAAACAACTTCACAAAAAAAATGTTATTATTCTTTGTTTTTTGTTCACTTTGGTGTTTTCACAAGGTCATAGATGTTTTTTCTTACGGTTTCAATAATCAATATGTATTACATATAAGTTTCATACATTGAATTCGTCAAAAGAAATTGAATATTACTTCTAGCACTTCTCAAGCAGTCTTTAAAAAGTGTACAATGCATGCAATGAGTGCTTGAAAGTTTGAAATATATATTTCTTCTCGTTCTTTCTGTTCTGATTTCAATCCCTTCCACGCCCATCGAATTTCGAGCCGTTGGAATTCTTTCCTATTGAAAAATCATTTTCGATTCCTCGAATACATTTTGACATTTCAGCACTCATCGAAGCGTCAAGTACTCAGGAAGAAAATACCTATCCAAAGAATACTACCGACTTCCCAGGCATATTTCAATCACTCGAGATCTGCTTTCGAGCACAAAAAACCTCCTTCGAAATACGATTTTGATATGCTCTATACATCTACTCGATGATCTTTTCACAGCTATTTGTATCCGGCATATATTGCAACTTAATTTCATAATTTTCTGAGCAATATCATGTATCTGCTGGTTTAAACTACGATAGAAATCAGTCTATGTTTTTAACTGTGACAGTGTCAATAGGATAGCATGATTTGATGTCTTAAAAAAATTTTAAGTATTGATTTTATACTTCATCATATGAATCAGTTGATTATTACATGTTACAATTATTAAACAAGTTGTCTGTGCAATTCTAAGACTACTAATAGTTACCTATCATCTGTTGACTAGTTCCATACTTGCTATTGGCTCCTCTGCGAAAGTTTGGGTACGATAGACGCAACAACTAGTATGCATTATCGATACAGTATCTTATTCGTTTTCCAATAAGAATGCTAGTTAAAAGAATATTATTCACGGGTCTACGTCGATGAAAAAGATGATGTTGATCTTGTTTGTTAAAGATGCTATTTACTATTCTACCCTGAGAAGTCAAAAAAATTTTTCCTCAAAGATTGAAAACAAAAATTTGAAACATGTGTGTTTTCGATGAAAATTTTGTGTATATATGGACCAGTTAGTTTCTTTATTAAATAATCAAAACCTAAACTGAAAAAGTTCAAAAAAAATGAAAAAGAAGATTGAAAAACGTATAGAAACTAGTGGTTTTAGTGAGATAATACCGTCTATTTCAGCCATTTATGACTTAAAAGTATTTTAGTTTCATCCAGATGCTTTCGGTTATCAAAGTTGACAAAAATCTAAACAAATAAGTTAAACTATTAGCCAAGCTTTTGATAGCACGATCATTGCATGCACTTGACATATTTGGACTAATGAGTGTCATTGATTGACTATCGGAACTTAGTGTCCATATAACAATACCAAAGGACTACGGTTGATTAACACATTCGACCCGATTCAGTTTTCGCAAAATTTTTTTCAGATTGTTCATTTTCGTGAACAATCATCTTCTAATAAATGCACTAAATGACCTTTTGGCTATATTCTACTGGTTATTTGTCGTTCTCTTGCTTATACCACTACACAGTGAGTCATTTTTTACTGACCAAATGAATAATCGCTCAAGTCAGTTTTTCGTTCTTTTCTATATTATATGGATCATGTCTGAGAAAAAGAAGGAAATTTCCAGTATTTTCTCCCCTATTCTGTTCTCTATATCGTTTTGCATATAAATACAACCGAATTTTTGGAGCATTTCACATGTCGTTTGAAGAAATCGATACTGAAGATAGTGCTAGCTCACTCAGTGAAGTGAGTTCACTGGATGATAAATTTGATACAATGCACCTTGATTTTGACAGTTCTGAAGAAGTTACTGATTATGACGATGACGATGATGATATGGATTTACATACTTGGAATGAAATAGAACCAGAATCTGATGCAGAATTCTTGGAAGATCATGGACTTATTGAAGATGTAACTTCTATTTCAGAAGATAACACAATCAATCCTATCGACTGCTATCGGCATTTCATTACGGACGAAATTATTGACCTTATAGTTCGTGAAACTAATCGATACGCGCAGCAATACTTGTAAAACCATGACATCAGTAGAAGATCAATCTTTCAACAATGGAAACCAACCAATAATACAGAGATACTCAAGTTCTTTGGAATAGTCATTGAAATGGGATTAGTACAAATGCCGAAGCTGAAGTATTATTGGAGCTCTGGTCAATTATATGGTTCACAGATCATTCGAATACTATGTCAAGAGAGAGATTTGAATTACTCCTCAAATTTTGGCACTTTTCGAATAACAATAACAATAATTCGAACCAAGATAGACTGTTCAAGTTGAAGCCACTCTTAGATTTACTAAAAGAAAGATTTTCATCAGTATATATGCCTGGCTCAATTATCAGTATTGACGAAAGTATGATACCATGGCGAGGCAGACTTTTATTCAAACAATACATACTTAGAAAAGCGCACAAGTACGGCGTAAAGATGTATAAATTAGCGGCGATCAATGGATATATTTGGAATTATGTAATTTATACTGGTGAGCAAGATTTGACGGCAGGTATTGGACATGCTCAAACAATAGTAATGAAACTATTAGATGGTCTTGATGGATGTTATTGAACCGTAGTAGCTGACAATTTCTTTACTAGTATTTCTCTTGCGAAATATTTGTTGGAACATGATCGTATCTCATTGGAACATTACGAAGTAATCGTGTTGGATCAGGAAGTAAAGTTCTTGAAGAAAATCTTAGTCGTGGAGAAGTTTATGGACTTCAGAATAAAGATGGAATTAAATTAATCAGGTGGAAAGACAAAAACGATGTCTTGATGGTATCTACAAGACCGTCACATTCAGCAAGTGTAGTAGACAGTGGAAAAACAAATTTTCAAAATGAGTGGATCATGAAGCCCCAAGTTGTATTAGATTACAATGAAGGCAGACAAGGCACTGATTTATCTGATCAACTATCAACATATTACACATGTCTCAGAAAATCAATAAAATGGTACTGCAAGGTGGCATTTGAATTGGTTTTCAGGACGGCACTAGTAAACAGCTATTTGATATATAAGGAAAACTACACCGAAAGCAAAGTGATCATTCTGCAGTTTCGTGAAAGTCTTGTCCGGTCTTTACTGCTTGGCACGCCAAACGAGAAGCTAAAACCTGATCCAAGACAACAATCAGCAAGTCATTCGAAGCGCAAACTCGCTGATCACAAGCTCGAAGAAAAAGAAGGATCTACGCGCAATGTCGGCAGACGGTGCACTGGCTGCTATGCGAAGGGACGAGCCCAACAGTCAAGAGAAGCCAGCCGTGCGGCAGCAAAGAAAGTAACAACTTTCTGTTATGACTGTAATAATTTTTTTTGTCTTGAGTGTTTTAATGATAAGCATGATGCTATGGAGTAAAGAACTCAAACAAAGTACTAAAGGCAGCACAGTTGACTCCTTATATTTGGCCTCCTACTTAAGAAAAAAGCAAAAGAAAATGCTTTTCTATACAGTTTCTCGTTAAACTATAGCGTAGCCCACCGGTGGGCTACATCGGGTCGAATGTGTTAATAGGCTCGTGCAGTACACAAAAATTCTTGTGCAGACGTCAAAATTTTTTCCCGCTCTCGGCGGCAAATAGTAACATGTCTTATTGAAACGGACGTAGAAACTGTTTTTGAGAAAACCTTGAGTTTTGTATGGTTAAATGTTGAATTTTGGATCAGCCATAACTTAAAGTGGCATTCTTTCGTTAAAAGTGATGAAGTACTGCATGGGAAACCTGAATCATATCAGCTAGTAGCTGCCAAAGATTTTCATCACTTTCAGCGACTAAGCTTACGTAGCTAATCATTGGTGGTATGAGAACAACTTTCCTCGATTACTGTTTCTGCTCTCGGAAAAAATTGTTGTTCTTGTTCTTACATTCTCATTCTCGGAAAAAAATTGTTGTTCTTGTTCTTACATTCTCATTCTCGGAAAAAAATTGTTGTTCTTGTTCTTATTCTCGGAGAAAAATTGTTGTTCTTGTTCTTACATTCTCATTCTCGGAAAAAAATTGTTGTTCTTGTTCTTACATTCTCATTCTTGGAAAAAAATTGTTGTTCTTGTTCTTACATTCTCATTCTCGGAAAATATTTATTCTCACCTCCGTAAGCGGAAGTGTAAACCAATCTATAGATCTGCGGCATGCAAGTTTGATTTTATTCTTTTCTTTCAGCGGCGGCTGAAAATGCGCAACATTTTTTGCTTGTCGGCAGAGGCGAGTGGATTTGTTGGGCGATTTCTTTAAGCTTTTCTTATTTCCGAGAACTTATCGGATGAAAAAAGAGAGAACAGTGGTAGAGAACACACTGATAAAAAAATAGATAGAAACCGTCGAAAAGTGATCTCAAACATCGAAAAACCCTCAAAACTGTTAATGTTTTTGTCCCCCTGACAGCGGCGGCTCAGCTCGTCGATTTATGTCTCTAACCGTAAGGCTTCAGAAATTCATATTTCTGCCTTTATTTTTAGATTTTAGGATGTTAG